GTTTCGGGTTTGGGTTTCGGGTTTGGGTTTCAAAGTCTGGTTTCGCCGTGTCGCCCTTAACTTCGCCGTATCGCCCTCTACTTCGCCGTGTCGACTAGCGCTGACCGTGTCGACGTCGTTGACGCCGTGTCCGACGCGTGTCGAACGCGTGTCGAACGCGCGTCCGTCCCCGACAAGCGTCGGACACGGGGACGGGGGGAGTTTTCACGAGTCGGTGCTTCTTAGCCGGAGACTTATTTGATTGTAGAAATACGAGTTTAAAAGAAATATTCTGTAGAACGGTAATAAGACCAACAATGCTTTATTGATCAAAATGCTGGGCAATTAAAAAATGTGCAAAAAATGAGTGTAGCAATACTTTTTCAGGAACTTCCCATTTATTGGCATCATTAATTTGTTGTCATCCTGAGTAATCAGACGATAAGCACCGTTTGAATAGACTGTCTCTATCACGAACGGTCCTTCCCATTTAGGTTCAAATTTGCCTTTTTTTTTGGAGTTGAGGATCATAGGCCTTCGAACAGCGAGGACTAAGTCTTCTTCTTTAAAGCTTCGTCGTCGGACTTTTTTATCGAAAGCCCGAGAAATTCTAGCTTGATAAAACTCGATTTGTTGTTGAGCTTCCAAGCGTTTCTCATTTAACATCTCTAATTCTTCGAGACGTTTCTGATGATGTTCTTCCGTCGTCATTCCCGTTACGAGAGCGATACGGAGGGAAGGAATCTGTATCTCCAATGGAAGGACGGCTTCACATCCATATGTTAAAGCATACGGGGTGGCTCCGGTAGGCGTGCAGACGATCGTACGATAAGCTCAGAGAGCTTCGCCGAGTTTGTCGTCCCAATCTCGTTTATTGGTTTTCACCAATTTTGCCAGAAGTTTGATGATAATCTTGTTAAAAGCTTCGGCCAATCCGTTAGCTGTAGGGTTATAAGCAGTCGATGAAACGTCTTTAATCCCGAATTTATCGCAGAATTTGATAAATGCGTTGCTCACGAATTGAGGACCGTTGTCGTGCACTATTCGTCTCGGAACAC